CCCAGTGGCGCACTGCTACAGTGCGCCACTTGGGAGCGCGGCGGCACTCCCGCCGAGGGTTCGGATCCCACATACAGACCGGCCGCTCACTGGCTGAGCGAGGTGCGGGTGCAACACCGAGGGTTGCGATCCCGTTGCCGGTCCCGGTCCGGTACGGTTGCGACACTGAGGGTTGCGATCCATTGCCGGTCACGAAAAAAGACAAAAAGGAAAAAAAAAATTAACTTTTCAGAGTATGTTTTATCTACATTGTCCTAACTTGCTGTTCCTTTAAAAGGCCAGGACCAGTATGTTGTACAAATCCAGGGAGCGCTGTTCATATGGAATCCAATGTGAAGAGGCCCCTGAAGTTGTGCTATGGGCAATACTGTGAAACTGTGACAACCTTCTATAGATATTCAGAAATCATTTGAACTTTTTTTTTTAGAGATCTGTGACTAAACTTGGTAGTTCCGTTTGCTTACTGGCTAATTGCAAAGTAAGAGTCTATAAGAGGGACAAAGATACTAGGTGCCTGTCAGGGTGGGACAGTGTGAGATGGCTAAAAACTCCAGAACTTTTTAGAAGAACTGGAGCTCTTCTGTGTGTGTGTCCAGAAGCAGGTGACTCACATTCCTGCACCTTGGATTCCTTATCAGTAGGTTGGAAAATGTAATAAAACTTTTGAGATTTTATTATGTTATAATACCTATGGGGGTTGTTGGGAAAATGAGATAAGTTAATGCATGGAGGAGACTCAGTACCATGTCTGGCACATGGAAAGTGCTCAATGAATGGTAGCCATTGTGATTGTTTTTTTCCTCATCTGTTAAATGGGTATAATACCTGCTTTCCTATCTTCTGGGATTTTTATGAACAACAAATAAGATAATCAGTTATAGGGTTCTAAGTAATAGAGATTTTGAGCTATGAGCAGGATGAATTCCATCATCTATTAGAGTAAAAACTATCTGTTAATTGTTCACCTCTCTTTAGGTACTATTCCAGGTTCTGGTTACCAGATAACTTGTAGAAGCTCTACTATGGGAGATTCCTTTGGACTTGCAGAAAACTAGAAACATGTTCCTTAAACCTCTATGCAGTTTGCCTTGTTTGAAGAGATCATTATAATAATTTCTATATTCCCATAATCCCAGACTAATATTTCTTAGGTGCAGTCATGGCTGTGTAGTTGTATAGATGTATCTGGCTTTGTTGAGGTATTAATTATTGGTAGTCATTGTCCATTTATGTCTAACCTTCTCGTCACAGTTTCGGACTCAAAATCTGTGATTGAAAAGCACAAGTATGGGCTAGAGATGGGCATTTATTTGTCAGTTTTCTATAGTAAATACTTAAAATACAAAAAGTAACCATCCCTGAGTTGATTAGTGAAAAATGCCTTTCACAGTCAAAAAGATTTCACTCCCACTTGGTTATTTAGTCAGTGACGGGCCATGAAAGCTCTATTAGTGTGTCAAAGGACATCTAGTCACAGAAGTATATTTGTATATTGCATTGGAGGATGCAGATCATGTTCCATGTGCTGTCAGCCTTGGACCCACCCATGTTGGGATGCTGAAAAGCACAAACAGAGCAGTTTGAAATGGTAAGTAACACATGGCCTTCCAATTCTGGTAGAGAGCTTTTTAAAAAAAAATAAATAAAATAATTTCATCTTTCATTTGAGAGAAAAACAAAGGTTTTATTTTCTCTCTAATGGCAAGACATCTTAAGTAAGCAACAGGAGAGCTGCTTTTCTCAGGCGTAATGTGAATCCTTCGTCAAAACTGAGGGTTTTTTCTTTTGAAATATATATTAAATAACACAGAGGAACATCTGCTGTCTGATTGAATATGAATTTGAGGCAAAAGAAGGGAACCTTGAATAACATTTCTTTTCTAATGATGAAAAGTTTACCAAAGAAGGAAATTTTTTCCCTATGTTTCACAGGTTCTATAGGTAGCATGTGAAAAATTGCTTTGAATGGAGTAAATGAAATGAAATATTAAAGGACTTTTCTGTTTATCATGATTCTCAGTTATTTAGTTATTTTAACAAAATATGTGGTTTTAAATATCAGGATGATTTATTTTCAGAAGGTGAACCTACCATTTGTCTTATTCAAGCATGTTTTAAGATGTTCATGGCAAATTACAAATTACAAATTCATGGTTTTTTGCAAATTACAAGCTGTGTTGCACTAACATACTCCTTAGCCTTGACTACAAATGAGGCTGCTATTTCAAATTGGGATTTTGTTCATTTTAGTATAATAACATAAACAATTTAGTTTTATTTCATGATTGTCACTTAAGGGAGAATGACCATTATTTTCCAAAGTAAAGTACAAGGCAGGTAGGCTCCTGGTGGGCAAGGCATTGACATCAGTACTGAAAGTGTAAAGGAGTGGTTTTTCCTTTGTGAGACATGCAGAGCATATTACTCTTACTGAGGGAAAGCTCAATCTTCTATAGCTGTATTTGATTTTCAGTTTTATTGAGGGCTTGGAGACTTAATGCTGCCCTCAGGCATTCGGATTTCCACCTATGAGGGCCTACGTAGGAGGAGTAGGTGATTTTCCATGGGCAGGAGTCAAATGATGGGCTGGACCATTGCTTTGCCCTCCCCCAACAGAAGCTACACTAGAGACAATTTTGTGGCTAATGTTGAAGTTAACTTACAACTTCGGAGAGCAGACCACATCACCTTCCAGCTGTGTGAGGATTTATTTACTTGTCTCTTTAAGTAAGTGCTCTCTCAATTTTTCTTAAAATTTTTATTATTTTTCTTTACAAAACACTGTGACTTAATGTGCAATAGTTTATCTCATGTATACTCTGAAAAATAAAGAAGGTTGATTGATACTTTCTTTTAAATGAAGTCGTCTAATGGTTTTCTCTGTTTTGAAGGATGCATAGTTAACGTATCCATTCAAAATAAATAATAAATGAAGAACTTATAACAGAAATTGTATGTAGCTGTTTAAGAGCTTACAGGCATTACAATTTATTATTACATCTTTTGAAAAGATTTTTGTTCTCCAGCACTTACTCAGAGAGCTAGATGCTTAAATCAAATAAACTCAATTAGCATGACACACGAATCAGGCAGGTATATGCCATTTGCTTTCTCAGTGTTTGTTGTTTTCACTCAATATGTGTAGTATGTAAGATCGACTTGTTTTAGAGCCGTTTGTGCCATTTATTTTTTTTTCTCTGAAGCTTATGTGTGAATTCAGAATTAGCATTTCAACAGAAAAATCATGAGAGACCTAAGTAAATTTGACTAAATGATATAGATGTTGCACACACAGAAAGACAGTCTGGTTTGTATTTTGTTCAGAAGTGGTTGGGTGAGTTTCTATACCTTCTTCTCAATGCTTAATGGACATGCATTTTTATATATTACAACATGAAAGACAAATTCCCTGGTTCTTAAACCACATAGTGTGGATGTTTCATTCACAAAATAAAATGATATAAGTATAATGTTTATGTTTAGCATATCAAGTTCTTCTTTAATATTAGTTCTGCAAGGAGTGTCTTAGTACAGTTTAACCAGGTTCAAATCAGAACTTAATTGCTAGCAAACATGTTGTCAGCATCGCTTCATTATTCTTTACACATTTAAGCTCTATTCCACTCAGCCATAATACTACAACTAATTTGACCGTATCAACAAGAGTTTGATTTTCAAACCAAGTAGTATAAATATAAATAGAGCCTTCAGTAACTGTGGTTGGACTTTGTATCCGAATACAACTTCAGCTTCAAAGATCTTAAGTCTCTTTTTCTTTCCTCATTCCTCCTTTCATTTATTTTTTTCCTACAAACATTTATTTACTACCTACCACGTGCCAGGCACTGTGATGGGCTCTGGGGATGCAGAGGGAACAGGATAGATGCTGTCCCTGCCCCAAGGAGACTTGCAGTTTAGTGGGAAAGATGGACATTATAAAAATACACAACTACACATATAATAAAAAATTACACACAAATAATTTAGTAATTATATGTGTGGGAGCTACCCTGGTCTGCAGTAATAACATCCCTCTCACCTTCTCAAGAAAGCCATTGGCTGCCCCTATCTCTTCATTAATGAGAAGATATGATTAAACCAATCATTCCAGGTAAGAGTTTGCTGTGGGACAGATGGCTATACTCTGTTTGTGCTCATACTCTGCAGTGTACAGTGAACACTTCCATGTGGAAGGCACACTGTGTTAGGTGATGGGAGAGACGTGCAAAAATGAGAGACACAATCCTTGCCTGAAGGAGTAAGAGACAGAGCATGCATACATACATATATATCCATGTATATCTATACTGTCTATTTCTGTATATATGTATATATATCATATATGTGATGTTTAAAACAAGGAATTTCAGGAATTCAGAGGTGATGGTGAAGTGATTTCTTTGGATGATCAGCTAATGTTTCTTGGATGTGACTTTTTAACTGATCTGTAATAAATAAATTGGGCTTTGATAAGGAAATATGATGCATAAGGCAACCAGGTAAAGGGAATAGAATAAACAAAGTCAAAAAGGTAGGGAAATACGAGGCACATTGAAAGATCGACAGAAGAAAAAAAAACAAACAAATCATCAAACAAAAAAAATAGTTATATGGAAATAGAAGGAGTAAGCTTGATGGAATAAATGGAGACCAGATCACTGAGGTTTTTTAATAACCTGTTTAGGGCTGGCCCGGTGGTGCACTGGAGAGTGCGCCGCTTGGGAACACAGCGGCGCTCCCTCCAAGGGTTCGGATCCCATGTGGAGACCGGTTCCCGCTCACTGGCTGAGTGCGTTGCCGGCGCAGTGCCGAGGGTTGCGATCCCGTTGCCGGTCCCTGGTGCGGGCGCGACACTGAGGGTTGCGATCCCGTTGCCGGTCCCTGGTGCGGGCGCGACACTGAGGGTTGCGATCCCGTTACCGGTTAGTAAAAAAAAAGACAAAAAGGAAAAAAAAAAAAGAAAAAATATATATATAACCTGTTTAAGGACATATTAGACTTTATTTGATAAATCACATATGACTACTCGCAATATTTAAGCAAGGAAGACACTCTAGAAAAAATTAATCAACACTGTTAAGGAGGGTGGCCACAGTGAGGAAGGTCGGGAACCCAGCACCCAGCCAGGTCTGTTGGTGTCGTGTAGATGAGACAAGGGGAAGGCCTAAATTGTTGGTGTTCAGCTGGTAAATCAGTGTTTTGATTTTAAATAAATTTGCAACAATGCCTTGAACTTTCCCAGAGTTGATCTCTAGAATGGAGAAGCCATTAGGTCTCCTCTTTAAAGTCACAAAGTGATCACTTTCTAACCAGCTGAAAAGCCAAGTTTTCCTGATTTATTGGGAAAGACATGATATCTGCTGAGCACTTATGAAACAAATATTTAAGATGGAAAACTGTAAGGATGGTAAAGTGGACAGATCTTGCATGACATCACTGCAAATATTTCTGAACTGATTTTAGCTGATTTATGAATAAATGATTATTGCAGTCTTCAGAGTTAAATATTTAAAAGTTAGCTCCCTTGTAGAGTTTGTGTATAATACAGGGCTAATTTTCTGTACTGCAGACTTCCACTCTTCATTTCCTTCTTTTTAATACATTGTAATTATTATTCTTATTCTATCTTTTTTCAGTTCCCTGCAGGAAAATTATTTAAACGTTGTACACAAATCTTTTGTCAAAGAGGAAAAGAAAATTCAGTTTGTGGGTCTCAGCAGGAGTTAAGCTAATGCAGCTTAAAATAATGCCGAAAAAGAAGCGCTTATCTGCAGGCAGAGTGCCCCTGATTCTCTTCCTGTGCCAGATGATTAGTGCATTGGAAGTACCTCTCGATCGTAAGTATTAATGTTTTAAAGCTGATAGGCCTAGGAGTTAACACTTCCCAGCATTCACCATCACTCTGAACTGTGTGCATGGAGGAGGTGTCTGTGTGACACTGAAAAGCTAATCAAAATTAGTTTTTACCTTCAGCACCTGGTGTTTATAAAGACTCACAACATAGAAATGTCCATTGAAATGGCCAGACACACTGTCCCCTCTCAGTCGTTATCCTTCTTCCTCCTCCGGTGCCTTTTGTGCACTGTGGCAGAGATGTCCTAAGAAGGAGTGGTGCAGCTGCCCTGATCCTTCTGTCAGGAGGCTCTTTAGAGAAGCAGTCCTGCAAGTAAACTATAGGAACCACTTTAAAATGATCATGAAGATTTCCCCATTCATCCCCTCACCGCCTTACCCACTCCCTTTATATGCTGAGAGTGCTCAGAAAAGATTAGGGGGGTGGTCTCTCCACCAACACTACACCCTCTGTATCCCCCAAACCACCCAGATTCAGATTGTCTGAGCATCTTGATTCATACCAGCCACACTTCACTTTCTAATTTTCTTAAATATGAATCTAGAAATTGGGAAATCATCTCATCTAGAGGCTAATGAGTAGTCTTCTTTGGTTTAAACAACATGATCCAAGACCAGGATGCAAATTTTGTGAATAAGACAAATAATCTGCAAAAACACTAAAATGGGCTACTGAATTAGCCCACTGCTTTCCTAATAGTAGAATATATGCTGCACTCTTCCCGGTCTGGGTGGCTTGTCTGTGAAAAATAAAGATGATGCTAGGTTCCAACTGTTCACTTTTCTTGCAGTGGAAAGCAGAATTTCAAATCTAGACAATTACTGTACTTCAGAATTGATTTATCCTTTATCCCTAATCTGCATGACCTCTTTAAATCCATTAGCTGCCTGAATAGAACATCTGTTTGGCAAGCTTTCCAAGGTGCAAGGCAGATAGCACTTTCCTGGGGCTACTCAATTGTTGGGATGTCATTTCTTGCCACAGAGGTTGCAACTGCCAGTGGGAAGACATTAAGAGATGTGGTCTGCCCACACTTTGTTGACTACTTTGCTCTGCTTCTACAGTATAAAGTAAAATAGAATGTGATTTTTCTTCTTTTTAAAAAATATTCATCCAACGACCTTAATTTCAATTTTCAAAAAATATGTAATTGCTTAAACCCATTGGAATGGGAATGCCTAAGTAAGCATTTGCCCTAACAGATATAAAGAAGAGGGAAAAAAGCACTTGAGAGAAATGCTTTTGTTCTCTCGCTTGTTAAATGTATTCCCCCTTAATCTGACTGCTCAATCTAACAATCAGAGGGAAACAGTCACCTACGGCTAACTCAATTATCACTGCTAATGGAGAAGCAGCAGAACCATGATGAAAAGAAAGTCATGGATAACCCAGGAGCTCCTGCATTAACCTTTACAAGTAGTAATGACAGGCAGCACTGTGAAATGATTTGAATTGCATGCTAATATAATTTCTTCCCCGCCCCTGTTCCTTACACCCTTTCTCCAGTACGTGAGCTGCTCCTTGGTGTATGCACCAACAATCCCTGGGTGATTGAGGAATTCTGAAGTGGACGTATGCTAACAGTCTAAAAAGTTCAATTACCGACTTGGGGATTAACCATTGAAATATAAAAATCTAAAATTAATGTTGGACTTGGCCTGGATGGAGCATTGTCATTGTAGCAATGTCCCATTGTTAGATATTATTACCATGTGCAAAGTGATGTCTGGGATAATAGGATCAGACACTACACAGTATGTGACAACTCAAATTAATTGTAGATTTCAGCTATTTTTCAAATTGAACATAATTACTTGTCCAGCACAACATGTATGGAATGGAATTAGCTGTTCTATTCCTGGAAGAATCATTTTTTGCCTACAGCATTGCTTTTGTTCTTCCATATGTTTATGTGGGAAAGCTGCTGCAGGAATAAACAAAACTATTAATGCGAGATTTTTTTCTCTTGCAATTTCACAACTTCAACCTTCACTGTATATGGGTTTTTTAGGTCAAATCAAATAGACAAGATGCTCCTTTTATCTTCAGAGTTCTAACGTTCTTATTATTAACATCTGATTTTCTTTAATCCTGTTTGCCCACTCACCTGCTGATATTGATGGGGAAAAGCAAAACTTCTTGAAGACTGTAAGTGTCTTTCTATAAATTACTAGGCAGTGTGAAAATTTGACTATGTCAACCATGTGTTTGTTTTTTGAATTAAATGCACAATTTTATGTTTTGTGATGAGTGCCTTTTTAAGCATGTGTGTTTACTATAGCTAAACATTGCATTTAAATACCAAGATGCAAATTTAATATATTACCTGCATGAATTCTGAAGGCTCCAGTATGAATCTTTCTTCTACCAATATACTGCTCTACTAACTTCCAAGCTTTATTCACATCTGATGTAACTCAATGAGAAAATTCACAAAATTTAGAGAGAGCAATTATCTGGTTCTAAATACTATTAAATGTTTGCTGGAACAAAGATGCATTTTTTGCTGTCTTTTACAGGGTGGGCGCATGCAGAAACTTTACCCAAGTCAACATCTTCATGTCCTCTTATACTTCTTTAGTGAAAAGGACTGTGTAAACTAGTGTTTCTAGACGCCATCAGTAGAATAACGCAGCAAATTTGAATATTGTCTTGTGTGCAAAAGGCACTGATGTCATTTCTGAGCAGCTTGCACTAAGCAAAAATTTCTGCTGCCTCTGACAGCTGGGCAGCATCTATCATCTAGCTAAAAAGTGATTTTCAGGCACTTGAAAATTTCCTTTGACATTGGATTAACCGGAAAAATTATATAAAACCACTTTTTCCCCTTATTGCTGCAAAGCATTTGTTAATTGCCAGGTGATCTAAGCACCTTTCAAATAAGTACGTCTGGGTAATAAACTCCTGACAGTTAGCAGTGGCATCTAAGCCAGCTCAGCCGCAGACGCATGAATAGAAGCTCTGCATTTGAAACCACCAAATTTGCCCACCTTTCACTTCCAGAAAAGCACAAGGAATTGGACTGAATGGCTCCTAAAAATCCCCTCCCCACTGCCTCTGTCTGCCATCCCTGGGTGTGGAATTCCAGACATCCTTTCATTATCCCAAACTCTACTCCCAGAGCCTGAAGGATCATTCAAAGGTGAATCTGGTTCAAATAAAAATTATTATGATGATAATGTTTTCAAAAGGTAACGTCATTGAACTCTTATAGCATTAACATGTACTAAGAATTTTACAAAAATTCTATTAAGCCTCCCAGCTACCCTAGGAGGCAGATACTACTTTTTAAATCTCATTTGCTCTCTGAAGAATCTACAAAAGTTAAGAAACGTGCTTGAAGTCTCATAGCTAGCAAGAAACAGACTAGTTCTTAACCACCAGACCAAAATACTAACCAGCACTGGATACTGATGGGTAGAAGAATGAGGATCCCATGTGTATGATGGAGGCTGGGAAGGGCAGCTGGGTTAGTGGAGGACAAGGAGGGGGAAGGGAAATGGAGACTGTCCAGTATCCTACGTATAATAGGTGCACAATAAACGATGACAATAATGAGTTTAGCTTTTGATCTATACGTTAGGCGTTATTTGCATATTTAGTAAGAGATGTCTAGTGGACAGCAATAAGACTGGAGATAAGGCAAGAGAACAGAACAATGTTTGCAGAATTCTAGGATTTTGGACACGGTAGTGTGGCAACAATTAACCACAATAAAGAGAGATAAGTGCAGAGGGCAGTTACTGAGCTTTGGGAAATGCTTGGCTGGCAGGTGGAAGAGGTTTCACAAAGGAAGCACAGAGTATGGGCAGAGAGGAAAGGGAAGATCCAGAACGTCACATGCAGCAGTGAAGGAAAGGAAAGCGAGAGTCCAAGAGACAGCCTTGGAGAAAGTTACACGATGCAGAAGAGAGCAAACTGGAGCAGGGCCACTAAGTTGCACAGCTCTGGGGTACCATTCACATGTGGTCTGTGCCAGGCCTCTCAGCCTCAGCACTACTGACATTTGGGGTCAGAGAAGTCTTTGTTGTGGGGGGCTGTCCTGTACATTCTAAGACATTTAGCAACACCTCTGGCCTCTACTGGTGTCATGATCGGTCTCTTTCACTCGTAATCCTACCAACTGGGCCAATTGTCAAGCTAGGGCCAGGTCTGGAGCTCACAGACCCCTCAAGCCTGTTCACAGACTGGTTCACAAACCCTTCACATGCCAGGCTGGGTCACCAGACCCCTCACACTCAGGTCTCTGAGCTAGATAACTGGCAAAACAGGTCCTTGGAAGCCATAGGTTGGAGAGCATGGCCACACAGCAGATGCCCAAGGCAGATGCCAGCCAAGCCACAGCATCCTGCATGCACACTAACTCCACCCCCCCACCCCCCCCACAAACAACTTGCTTACAGAGAATGCACTGCACCACCCCCAACCTGCCCCAAGCCAGGGAACCTGACCAAACTATTCTATTTTCCCAATAACTGGCATCAAGCAGATGCCAGTATCACCACCACTCTAGTTGTGACAATTGAAATTGTCTACAGATATAGCTAAATGTCCCCAAAGGATGGGGTGAATTGCCCCTGGTTGAGAACCACTGTTCTGTATAAATAGCTCTCCCTGGAGCTGTGCACGGCAATGGCTTTCTACCAGGAGCCACTCAAGAGAGTTTATCTTCTCTGTTTTGTGTCTGCCTCCTCAAGCCTTTTTGCCACCCAGAGCAACAAAAGACATTGAAATACAGTAGATTATTTCTCCAGTCTCTTCCTTTTCTAACACTTTGTAATTCTGATTTCACAAAAAGGACCTGGTAATCTTAGAGCAACTTGAAGAGCCAGCTTTCTTCATATTAGATGGTTCTGTGTCACAACAGTTTCCCCCTACGATTTGATAACAAATGATCAGACCCCACTTTGGAGAGTAAAATGGAAACATTGTCTCCTAGAACAGAGACAGAGAACTTCCTAGAAGAGAGAACTTCCCCAATTCCATTTACCTTCTAAAAAGACCATTTTATCTTTGTTCCTCTTTAATTCACCTATCTCTTGGCTCTAATGAGACATGTTGTCTCCAATTTAACAATCTTTTTAATATTAACTTCTCAAATATATTTGTTCTTAAGATATATTAATTTACATTAGCATTCTAATGAACTGTTACTCTTTCTTAAGAAAGACACAAATTTACCTCATAACTTAAATTTCATTGAAAGATATTGTCTGAGCCAAAGGAATCAGAAGAATTTCTCATTGTTACATCAGAAAAGAAACTGTCTTAATGTTAGGCTTGTATGGGTAATTATTTTCCCAAACTTCTTGTGTGGGAAAGTAGACCTTTTGAGTGCTTTTAAAGTTATCAAATGGAAGTTATGCTGTGACTTCACAGTTTTAGGAGACTTTTCTTTGGAAATCTACTGAGGTTTGTGCTGCCAGTAGAAATTACCACAAATATTCGGAGCATATTTAGTCTAAGGTAAGTGATTTTGATACAGGAAAAAACTGATTGCTATTATGATATTAATGATTTATTTCTTTACATTATTCTTCTTTCTATAATTAAGTGGTACAGCCTCCAACCATCACTCAACAGTCTCCAAAAGACTATATTATTGACCCTCGGGAGAACATTGTAATCCAGTGTGAGGCCAAGGGGAAGCCTCCTCCCAGGTGAGTGTGCTTTCTGGTATGTTACAGTACTGAAAGTAAGTTGGGGGGTCTCTCTAAATATAGAAATGGGTTCGGAAATTTCTGTAGAATAAGGTAGGCCATATGGAGCACTTCCTTTTTTAGTTGGATATTTCTCAACGTGACTGATTGTATTACACTTTGGTTCATCTAACCAACTCCCCAGCCCATTTTGCCCTTCAAAGGTATTGAAAGTAACTTCTCAGGTCCTTCCTATCCCTAAAGTATCATTTTGTTTTGTCTCTGCTTAAATTAGAGCCAATTTGTTGTTCTTAAAAACCCAGATGATCGCATTTCCATACTCACACCCTTCTGCAAAATACTCATCAATTGTGGGGAGACACAGAAAGAGCTTTCTAATCCTGGTTCTTACACTAATGGCCTTATGACATGGGCAAACCCCCCTTCTCTGGTGTTTAGTTTCCTCATATAGTACTGGATCTGTGACTTGTCCAGTAATATATGAGAGTTTTGGAGAGCTGGGTCATTATTATTAGAATGCAATGTGGGGGGGAAAAAGAGGAAAAGTATAAAGTGTAATGTGGATTTTTAAGTACTAAAGAAGTGAAAGTTTCTAGATATTTTATTTCCAAGTTTGTCTATTACAGGACTTATCACACTATCACAAACTAGCACCTGAGAAAAAATTAACTGATAATTACATATGTCAAAACTCTCAGCAAAGATTTACTGCAAAAGAATGTATTCTGCATAGTATTGGAAACTTCTGTCACACAAGCCCTAATGTGGTGTCCTTTGATAGAGTTCCCCTTCAGTTTCGTGCTTACCTCCTATAACTCTCTGTAAGGCAGTATTTCTCCTCCTCATCACTGTTGATATTTTGGGCCAGATAATTTTTTGTTGTAGGAATGGAAGCTGTCGTGTGCCTTGTAGGATATTTAGCAGCAACCCTGGCCTTTCCTACTAGATGCCAGTAGCATCCACCACCACCTCCCACCCAGGTTGGGGCAACCACTGCTATAAAGATAAATAGTGGGAAGGGAAATTCAAGTGGGCCCAGAAAACACTGTGAAGATTCATGTCTTTGTATGAGTATAGCCATCATTGGTTTGTGACTGGTTATAAAGTATTTAACTCTATGAGCACTGTGACTTTTTTGTAAGGCAGTCTTTTACATAAATAAAATTGAGAAAGAGGAATCTCAGTTGACAGTTTGGCATACCTGCTAAGTAATTCACAAATCATCTCTAGAATTAAAAATTCTCAAAATGTATTTATATAGAACTACCACTTTTAATAATCATCATTTAAAACACCCCTGAACTCATATCACTTAGCCTCCTCCCATTCTGCAGTTTGCGTTTTGATAACTTGAAACTGCTCTGATCAATTTTCTTTTTTTTTTAATTTTTATTTTGTCAATATACAATGTATATGATTATTATGGCCCTTCACCGACAACTCCTGCCCTCCTCCCTCTCTCCCCTCCCCCCCAGGAATGTCCTTTCCGTTTGCTTGTTGTAACAACTTCAAAAAAA